TGCTAGGGCCAAAACTGGGATGATTCAACAGAGCTCTGACTCCTAGCTGTCTTTTAGACTGCTGAATGCCAGAGTGTGGAAGTGGGGGCAATCGCTGCCCATCTATTCCAGCAACTTGCTCCTGGGGCCATTCGTCCTGCTCAGGTGATGTCATATTCAGGTGGGCCCGAGTTGCCCAGGAGTCTGGCAAATCACATTTTCTATGATGCAGACCTAGGCAAAGTGATGGGTTGCTGAAGACTGATGGCAGCATATTCCTGTGGGGCACATCACAAGGAGGGCTATCATTAGGGCTCTTAAATTGTGTAGGAAAAAAATGGTGCAAAACATAGAACCTCTTTTCTGCATTCATTTATAAAGCCACAAAAACATGAAACATGTCTTTTTTGAGATTGCTCCGAGCTGGCCTGGAAAGCCAAGAAGAAAGAGTAGAGTGGTTGGTATGGCTGAGAGGTCTATCTATCTGGTTTTCAGATAAACTTATCCTAAATTACCAATCTGCTTTCTTCCTTGGGCAAGAACTTGTTCTCCTTTCAGCCAGACAAGAAATGAATACAGTTTGGCTAAAATTCCAGGACCTGGTTTCTTTATCAATCAATCTCTACATAAGATGCTGCAAACACATCTTTAAGAGCTCTAACTTAAGGCTCAGCATGAGAGAATTCTGCTCTGTGGATATATGGGCAGGTTGTGGGAGAGTGCCGTCTCCCATCTGCTCATGGGTGTGATATATCCATATGTGTATGATGGCTAGTGCACAGTTAAGCAATGTCACACTGCTTGTTTGTAATGGGTGGGTTCTGATAGACCCTCTTCCCATGCCTGGGGATTCATCTGGGTGAGGTATCTTAAGTGATCCTATGGTGGTTGGAACAGGTGTCTTAAGCTCGGAAGGACTGGATCTGTCTCTGGACCAGTAATTACCACTGAACCAAAGGGGAACTGCAACTGAGTAGGGGAACACTGGCTATTCTGGGAAATTTTAATCATAATGAACTTTGAGTTTTAATAAAAGAAAAGTCTTCAGGAATTTATTTTTGGAGAGGGCCAAGCAGACTGTTAGAATAGCTACTCAAGTTCAGAAAAACAGCTTATGTTCAGAGGCCACCTGCCCAAGAGACAAGCAGGAATCTGCGGGAGAAGGGAGCCAAGCAAGATGCCTGCAAAGTTCTATGAGCATTTTGAGCCTAGATGGAAAATTCTTAAAATAAGAAGGTTGAGCATCCTGCAAAGCTTTCCTCCACTTCTCCTGTATCAGATCTTAAAATTAGATATTTATATTTCAGAAATCCAGTTTCCTTTGTTTATTTTCTTCTCTCCTTCCAAGTTCTTTTAAATCATTCTGACTGGTCTCTGACATATGAAGAGAAAACGAGGTGAAAGGATTTACTTCACAAACAGGCTAGAATTGTGTAAGGGTCAAACTCACATCCCAGTATGCCTGGGCCTGGTGGCAGCACCTTGAATTCAAGTGAGAAAATTCTAACATCTAGATAGTGTCTGCAAACCCTTTCTAGGGATTTCTTCTAGAGTTCATTTTTGTTTACATTTTGAAGTCTGTTTTCATAGCACGTTGGATCATGCCCAAATGGCTATACTACAACTGCCCACTCCACGAGCTGTTTGTAACAACGGGACACTAACACTGCTCCTGTCGAGAGGTAGGGATTCATATTCTCTGCCTGGAATTTGGGGCAGGGCCTTCCTTGACTTCGGCAGAAGTAATGCACTGCATCTTCCAAGGCTAGGACATAAAGTGTAATGCACCTTCCGCCTGGTTCTATTGGGATTCCAGCTCTTAGAACCACGCTGTGAGGAAGCCCAAACAGCCTGTGGAGGATCCCACACGGAGAAGGACTTTAGTTCTATACCTATAGCCCTGGCTAACTGCCAACGTCAACTTGCTAGCCATGTGAGTGAACCATCTTTAAAGTATGACTTCCATCTTCCAGTTGGTCAGATGTCATATGAAATAGAGAAGAACTGCCCTCCACCTCAAGCCCTGCCCAAGTTGAAGATTTGTGAGCAAATAAATGACTCTTGTTGGACAAAGTCACTGCAATTTGGGATGGCTTTTTATATGGCAAGGTAACTGATACAGTTCCCTAATGACATAAACATTCAACATGCTGTTTGGTTCTCATTTTGGGTAAATTGCTTTGACTTAGAACTGCCTCCTTTCCTCACAAGCAACTATCCTGACAACTGTCCTAACCTAGATTCTACAAAGAGGTCTGGAACCACTGAGGAGGGTGAGAGGTGGCACATGAAAGAACCATTGTTTTTGAGTCCTACTTGCTCAGTGGACATGAGGAGGGAGTAAGGATAGTTTCCTCTTCTCTTAGACTTGAGGCTTCCGTCAGACACCTTTCTCGCTTGTCCTCCAAGGGCCTATTGGAATGTGTGGGTAGGTGGCTGAATGTGGTTTTTCATGGAGTAACTGGTAAGAGTGGCATTTTCTATTTCTAAAAAGGAGAAGGGATAACATACACTCCCATACCTAATGTACATACTCTGTATTTACTAGAGACATTGATGGCTAATCAGGTACACCTATGAGCTGCTCATGGGAGTGGTTCACATTCTTCTCTCATGTCTGTTTTGGACAGCTGGGATTCATGCTCACATTCAGTCCTTCAATGGAGGTGTACATGCCAAGGAGGGTCTGCCATCCTTTCTGGGTCCGGAGATGAGCTGTATGCCAAGAGTAAAAGACTTAATCAGTCTCATTCTACGTTGTAATATGATATGGTATGTCTCTTTTGAGCTGATATGAAACCAAACTGAGACACGTCTGGGGATGATGCTAACTTTTCCCTTTGTATCTCAGTTTTCTGCCTTCACTCCTTTGCTCCACTCCATTTCCAATAGATTTATCCAGAAGAAATTCAGCCTCCTTTTGAGATAGTTCCTTTGAACCCCTTCTCAACCCAACTCATGCTCTTAAGCTCTTTATATGTTCCCCTGCCCCTTCCAATCAGACAGTTTTAATTCCCTATCAGAAACCACTACACTGAGTAGGACAAAATAGATGGTCAAGAAAATACAATCAAGGTAATGGTGACACTGGCTTTATCTTTTTCCTTACCCTGCAGGCAACTAGAAGAGTGTTTCTCTGAGCACAGATGCTTCCCACTCCTCTGCCTTGTTCATACCTAAAAAGGGCGAGGAACCAGGGCTAGCTCTTAAGAATCCAGCATTTCTCTCTAGGTCAGTTAGCTGCTTAGAGGTTTTGGAAGGGGAGGAATCCTGCTATCACCAGTTCTGCAAATGGATCTCAGTAGGCTTGATAGCCCTAGGATCCTGGGAAAACATGTGTATATGTGTGTGTATATATAGAGGGTGCCAAAAAATGTATACACATTTTAAGACAGAAAAAACTGTATTAAAATTGGAATACTCAATATAAACTGATAACAAAAGACAAGTCATATGTATACATTTTTTTGGCACTCCTGGTATATATGTTGCGGGTGGACTTGTTCTTGGGCATGCCAACTGAGAATTAGCCATCAGTGGGGGCCTAGAGCTTCCAACTCACTTACTTCATATCCCCAAGAAAGGCATCTTGATAGAGAAAGAGAAGTTAAAGCAATAGCTCACTGAGAGATGTCCCCAGAGGTATACATTTGAGTGTGTTTGCATGACTGGAGTGGGTGGGTAGAGTAGGAGATTATTCAAAGGTTATGGTTCTTCAGATTATACCCAGATGCTAAAACTTTACCAATGTATTTGCTCCTCTGCTGGTGTCCCAGATTTCCATCTCCTGGCTGGCAGTGAGGTAAGGAGCTTCAGATTTCAGGGAAGGCTGTTCGCCCAGTGTTGAAAGCCACTTTCAATGTATGTTTTGTGTGTGTGTGTGTGTGTGTGTGTGTGTGTGTGTGTGTGTGTGTGTTTCCAGAGCAAGTCTCCTTCTTTTTCCATTGGGAGCTTCATGTCCTAGAGCCAGTGCTTTGTGGCCAAGAAATGCTTTGAGAGGGTGAAATTCCTAAGCTCTTCTTTGCTGCCCCTCTGTCTTCCTTCCTTGACCAACAGCCCATCCTAGGAGGCTGTGCCACTCTCACCACTGCTTTCACTCCTGAAAGAACAAACATTTTCACTGCAGCCTCAGAACGGTGGTGTGAGGTGATTGTTTATAGTAGACGTTTCCATGACACTCGTTTATTTCTTTTTCAAATACAACTGCATTGGGGGAGGGCATGAAGAGAGGTTAGAGTAGAGAGATTGGGAAGTATAAAGACCTTCCCATTTGTTCATCTGTCTTCTTCTGTAGGAATAAGAAGCCCACCTTCCCCTTTCCCTCTGTTCCTCCATCCCAGACCCCTAAACTGCTTCCCAAATCCATCTTGGCTTCATGCTGTTAAGGTGGGGCTAGGCTCCCAGTTAGGTGGGTAGGCAGGAATCTTGTACATGAGGAGGCAGCTTTTTTTAGGAGAAAGAATAAAAGAACTTTTATTGTTCAAAGTTGAGATTTAGTAATGATGAGCAACACTGACCCGCATTGGGGGTGGCACTATGTGTTCCAGAGGAGGTCTGTGACACTCCTGCAGCTGAGCCAATGACTCATTCTAAATCTTAGCGACTTTCAGAGGTCATTTTAGTCATTCCCCTGTCTTCAAGCTGGATGGAGCTTTAACTTAACATCACGTTTGGGTGGGAGGGGGTGCGTTGTTGAGGAAAGCGTGTACGTGTGTGGAAGGGAGTGGGGGTGGGGGAGTTTGCGCGTGACCTCTTTGAAAAGATCTCCAGCGAAGGACGTTCCCGAGCTTTCCCAGGTTGCCAGTTCCTGGGTTTCCCCGTTATTGAATCAGCATCGTCCTCCCGGGAATTGCTTTTAGCTGGTTGGAAACCGGATGTTGGGTTCCCTGGGTGGGCGGGGGCGATGTCCCCTCAGAACTGTCAGGGGTAATTGAGACTCCCAGGGTGCCGTTATAAAGCCAGAGAAGCTACCATTTCTTTTACCAGAAACTTGCCATGCAGTGTGAGCAGAGAAGAGAACATAGCAGAGCCGCTACAACGCCTTCTCTCTGGCAATGCGCATGATTCTGCGGCTCTGTGCTCGCCACACTACAACGCACCTTGAAATGGGCTCGCCTTCGTGACGTGACGGACAGACCTCCGAGCCAATCGTCCGCGAGACTTGTGGGCAGGGACCAATAGGCGGGAGGCAGGGGCGGTACCGGAGGCCCGGCCTGGCTAGGCTTCACCGTGGCGCTGGCTGCGCTTTGACTGGACTGGTAGTGCAGGTGCTGCTGCGCCGGGGCCGGGGAGGCTGCGCGCCGAGCGGAGCGGAGCCGCGAAGGGATGGGGAGCGGGCCGCCAGGGCTGCAGCAGCACCCGCGCGGGGCGTAGGCGGGCGCGAGCGGGCGTGAGCAGGAGCTCGGGAGAGAAGTGTGCAGCGCAGGAGCACTTTGCGATAGGATGAGGCTCCTGGCTGGCGCGCGGTAGTACTATGATTTGGTATGTGGCCACTTTGATAGCAAGTGTGATCAGCACCCGAGGTCTTGTGGCTCAAGGTGAGTTGAAGTGCAGCGTCCCTGCTTTGCCCCTCCCGGCTCTCTCAGCCCCGTCCTCCACGCCTCCGGCTCTCCGACCCCGGCAAGCGCCGTGCCTTTCCGCGGGCGAGGCTCGGGCTGGGGCTGGGCGCGCTCCAGGGCACTGCCGGGGAGGGCGGGGGACCGCGCTAGCTGAGGGTCAGGCAGGAAGGGGCCCCAGCCCACGGGCTGCTGGGCACTGGGGAAAAGACGCCTTGAGATGTGGGTCGACTTCGTTCACCTGCGGCTCTAGGTTTTCACACCAGCGTGAGGAGCCCGGTGCCCTTAGCCGGAGCAGCCACTTCCTCCAGCGTTGGGGAGTCGGCGGCTTTGCTAACTCTGGGTGCCGGGGAGTTTGCGGGTGTTCGGGCAGGCTGCAGCACGCTGACGCCCCGCGCAGAGATGCTGCCCCGCAGACCGGCCTTTGCAGGGAGGCGCGACCCAGAGCCTTGGGACTCTCGGCACCCACGGCTAAGGGACTGGGTTCTCGGCCTGCGGGCGCCCACCGCGGCAGCTCGCGCCCCTCCTGACCACACGTCTTGGCAGCCAGAGGTCGGATCCTCCTCGCTGGGCGTGAGGGCTGGGTGGCGCACGGAGCCCCGAGAGAGTAGAAGAGCTGGTTAAGCGCGTGGGTCTCTTGGCGGGCTCCGAGGAGTGTCCGCTTTTGGCTAGCCCTGCCAGGCTCCTGCGCCCTTCTGAGCCGCACCTGGACCCGGCCAGGTAAAAGTTCCCTGGGAGCGCGCCGCAGCTGGACCGACCCCATGTCGCCCTCCCAGGCTGCGAGGCCGAGCTGGCTGGAGGGAGGCAAGGACAGCGGGGGAGGGTGTTCCCTTTACTGCACCTCGGAGCAGAGGGAGGTTTTTCCTCATTCCTTTTCCCCCTGTCTGGGCTGGGGTAGAGGCTAGAGGGAATCCGGCGAGTTGGGTGATGCGCGCGTGAACGCGCGGGCTTTTGCTCTGGAGATGGGCAACGAGACCTACAAGGTTCTGGGTGGCACCCCCAGCTCTCGGCCCTTGTATGGAAGTGGGAGCGGATCCCCGAGGGTGCCAGGACTCTGAGCTCACTGTTCTCAGCGCGCAGACACGACCCAGCTGCGGGCAAGTTCACAAAGCCGGGAGGAGATGGCTGCGGGTGGGTGGGTGGAAGTCAGCAGGGAGAACCCGCCGAGGAGAGAATCCACTCCGAGCGCCGCTAGGGCAGAAGGGGTAGGCAGGAGGCGCCTTTTTACAGGGTCCTCTTGTTACCTGGTCTGGGTTGTGTAGGGGAGAGGGTGAAGTGATTTGAGAAAGTTTCTGGAATGGAATAGCTCCCATGCTATTTGTGGTGTCTGAAAACAGAACCAGAGGAGGGCTAAGTGAAGGGTGATTTTGTTAAACGAAATGTTGACCTGGATGTTTTTAAAACTCGCCGTTTGTCGAGTGGGAAAACTGAGGCCAGGGACGGTGCAGGAGCTTATGGAATGGGGTAGGTGTGCGGCGGGTCAAGTTGTGCTTGAGAATCTGTCTCTAGCCTCAGCCTTCTCCTTTCCCCTATTTCCTTGTAGTCTTCCAATGCCCTCATCCTCCTCCCCTCCAGTTTTTGGTATGTTCCTTCTATGGGACTGTCACTGAAAACACAAAAGGATATGCTGGGATCTTTGAATAAAAAAGAGACACTGAAAGGAAGCTCTGAAATAGCCTCCCAAACTGAGAATTCAGGGTGAGGGAAATGGACTTTTTGCAAGTTTAAGCAAAGAATAAAGGAAAATGGGTTTATGTTGCAGCCACACACCTAGTGGGCAGACAGAAGGAGCGACTTCCTAATACTGAATGTTGTTAGGCATGGAGGGTATGCCTTCTTTCTGGGTACGAAGAGGTCCTTCTGTTTAGGATGGCTTCACATGCACCCCTGACTGCCACCCCTTATTGGTCTTGAGGTCTTTTTAGCCTAAAGAGTCTCTATGTTTGGTGGTTAAAGACTTAGGACTAGAGTCAAATGACCTGAATCCAAATCCTGGCTCTGCCACTTGCTGGCCCTGTGACCTCAGACAAATTGCTTAAGCTCTCTAAATGTCACTTGACTCAATGGCAAATGGGGTTAACAGGATGAGCTTGTAGGGTTTTTTTTGTGAAAAAGAAATGAGTGACTACCTGTTATATATTAAGTTCTCAATAAATGTTAACATTAGTGTTTTTTATTATTATTATTATTATTATTATTATTATTATTATTATTTCATTATCTCTGGAGTTCTAGGCCTCTTCTCAGTTTCTTCCCCTTGGGCCATTCAGGGCATTGGGAGTTGGGAGTGTCGCGGGGGAAGTTCAGAAGGCTGCCTCTGTCAGAAACCAAGAACCCTTTCATGGGCTGACCTTGTCTGGGAGAACCTCTTTCACTGTGCAGCCCAGGGAGATGTGTGGAGGGCATGTAGGCCTCCAGTCAGGCTGCTTGGAAAGCCTTTGAAAGATTTGCAAAATTAGAATTTTTTTTAGTGGCCAGAGGCTTGTGGGAAGGACACCGGGAGCCCAAGAAGCAAGCAGGTCATAGCCTCACAGTCTCTGCAGACAGAGAGAAGGGGGATCTGTGTGGCTGGTGCCTGCTCGAATGAGAAACACCAGCCTTGTTCAAACGCTGGCTCTGTATGAGAGCTCAGCTGTTCTCTGATTGGCAGAGGTGACTTCCGGGAAGATTCCTGAGGGGGAGGGACTTTGAGATGCCATGCTTAGGGTTTGCCTGAAGCAGGGGCTGCTCTAACAGAGGGATGAAAGAGGACAGGCCCCTTAGACATTGTTGGGTTGGGACAGAGGTAGGGATGGGCTCCCCCTTTTGATTTGAATCATGTGTCTGGAGGGGAGTGAGGTCCGTGGAGAGGTTGGGAAAAGAGGTATGGAAAAGAAGCTAGAGAAGTATCTGGAACCTGAAAGATGGTGTTTGGAGTCTCAGCATCCCAGACATTTGCTGAGCAAGCTTTGGAGAGACCCTGGGCCATAATTGACTGACTCTGGGCCTTGGTTCCCATGGCTGCCTCCTCCTGTCTACCACAGATTCTGTGGTTCGATTATCCCTGACTACAGAGTCCCCAAATAAAGTGGGGTTCAGACAGATCCCACTGGTAGCTGGACCAGTGCCCTCTTATCTCTGCCTGGCCTTGACCCTCTGTTCTTCCCTTTGGTGATGAAGGTGGGAGGGAGATTTAGACCTGGAGGCTTCTAGCAAGACCTCATGGGCAGCCTATCAGCTAAGAAGGACTCAGCTCAGGAAGTGGCCAAGTGGTGTGTGTGTGTGTGTGCATGCTTATGTGCGTTCCTAGCGCGCACATACTCTAGAGGCAGGGGTGTGTCTGGCAGCATGTACCCTGGGAGAATCTGAGGAGGGGATGTGTCGGAAGGGGCATCGGGGAGGGGCAGTGGGAAGAATCAGCTTTCAGCTGCTGGCCTGAGGCCCAACATGTGCTAGACTTGGAGTTGTCAGGTCCCAGAGCTGGGTGGTTTCATGTTTATGGCGCTGAGACAGAAAGCTGGGATCTAGTTACCCAAGGAGCAGAGGCTGCCTAGCTGGGGTGATGCTGAAACCCAGCATCTCCCTACCCCTCCCTTTTTCTTGGCTCCTGGCACTGCTCTCTCCTGGTGCCTGTGTTTTCTCTCTTCCCTCCGCCTGCCTAGCCAGGGCGTGGCTCTCAGAGCCTGGCCTGCTGCTCTCTCTTCTCCCTTGGTCTCTTTCCTCTCGCCTGCTGGACTCCTTCATGTGTACCTTGCCCAGGGAGTGAGGGCTGGGAGATAATAAACCCCAAAGGGAGCTAAGCCTGAAATTTACTGCACTTTTCTTCTCCATAAACTTCTCCTCTCACCCCCCAACATCCTGTGGCCTTCTCGGGCCGGGGCCCAGGGTCTCAGGAAAGCAGTTCTCTTCTGTCTGCTCCCTAGGATGGGTTAAACAGCTTGTGAGAAGAGTGGATCTGAATTGTGAAAAGAGCTGTAATTGGTGCAAGCTGTGTGGAGGTGTGTGGATGTCTGCCTGTGTGTTTGTGCGCATGCCTGTGTGCTATGCCTGTGTGTGCATGTGTGTTTGTATTGCACCTGTGTGTATGTGTGTGCACGTGTGCGATGCAGCAGGACAGGGGACAGTCTATCTGCAGGCACAAGGTGGGGAGTCATTCCTCTCCAAGTGCTGTGGGTGGCAGTGAGACTAGACTCAGAGCAGATGCCTTGTTTTCCTTATTCCCTGGCTCTGCACCTGAGTCGAGGCAGCCCAGAAGTTTTCAAAGTTGGAGGCTCAACCCAGGCTCTGGATTTAAGGATGCCTAAGTTCCCTGAGAGAGGCTTAAGTGGAGGGACAAACCCAGGCAGAGCTCCTGGGGACACTGACAATGGGTCTGCCCTACTCCATTGGCTCTGCCACCCAATGCCCATTATCCAGCACACCCCGAAGTAGAGAAGGGCTGGGCCCCAGGGAAGACGGGAGAGGGTGCTGGGTTGGAGAGGCAACCTGTAGCCTGGCCCCTCAGGGGCACTGCCTACGGGTACCAGTCCAGTCTGCCCCAGGCAGCTGACCCATTTTTCTTAGGAATCGCCTGCTTTTCTGTCCTCTCTTGCGTGAATAAGCAGAGGACTGGTGAGCAGAGACAAGGCCTCCATTAAGGTTTGGAGAACAATTCCATGTGGGCCAGGGCTTGTGGGAAGGACACAGGAAGGCCAGGAAGCAGGCAGGCCATAGCCTCGCTGTCCTGAGGAGAGGGGACTGCAATGGTCCTTTCTCGGCCTGTCCTTCTGTCTCTGCCTCCCCCATCTCCCTTACCTTCCTCCTGGTAGCAGGTACCCACCAAGATGATCTGTGGCAGACAGCTTGCATCAGGCTTGTCTTTATAAGTTGTGTGAGGTGAGCCACTGTCCTCATTTTCTGGCTTCAGAGTAAGGAGTGCTGATATTTCACTGTGAGTAAACGTGGGGCTTCCATTTCCCATTTACTTGTCATGTCTACCTGGTACCTTACCCGAGGAGTGTGGC